GTTGTTTCTTCCTTCCCCTAATTAAATTTACCACAAGATATTTGAGAGAAAGAGAGACATGATGAAAGCCAGTAAAGGCAACTCTCCAATGAATAAGTTTGGGCTTAACGTGCTTGCCTAAAAACATCTGGCACTTGTCACAATTAAAGAGAAGTCCAGAACAATTCTGGAAATCCTTTAAGAGCCTCATCAATTGTTTTAGAGCAAGCTTAGAGACATTGGCAAAAATAATCACATCATCAGCATAAGCAAGATGTGAAACCATCATCTTGGCCTCATGAGAAAACTGTGTGTGAGCGTGTAACAGCTGGAAATGGTTGAGCATCTTTGATAAATAATCGATAGCTAAAATGAAAAAAATAGAGGAGAGAGGTCCCCCTGTTTGATGCCACGAGAAGCAGTGAAAAATCCATAAGAATTACCATTTATCAGCACGAAATAATAGTTGTTAGCCAACCATCTTTTTATCAAGGTGCAAAAGCTGGTAGTGAAACCTCTAGCCTTCAAAACGTTGATGATGAAATCTCAATTAATGGTGTCAAAGACCTTCTTGATATCTAATTTGATAACAAGATTGACACTACTGCAATTTTTATCAAGATCCTGCAAAATCTCCTGAGCTAAGAGAATATTGTCAGAAATATCACATCCTTTAATAAAGGCCGACTCGTGGGGGGAGATGAGAGAAGGAAGGTGTGGTTGAAGACGAGCAACAATCAGTTTCCTGATAATTTTAGATATCACAGAAGTGAGTGAGATGGGTCGAAAGTCCTTCCAATGAGTTTTATCATTAGATTTAGGGATAAGAACAATCAGAGCGACAAAAAAATACTTTCCAGGGTCTTCACCCTGAAAAAAACTTTGAATCGCGAGAACCACCTCTTTCTTTATGATGCTCCAGCGGGAAATATAAAAAGCAGAAGTAAAATTATCGGGGCCATGAGCCTTTTAAGAACTAATATCTTTATGGGCATTGAAAATCTCCAACTCGGTAGAAGGGTCGGACAAAGAGAGGGAGGAAACTGTGTCCCTCTGATCCTCAAACAATTCCGATAATATATCAGTGACTGGAAGAGTCTCAGCATAAAGAGAAGAAAAATAATCAGCTGCATTGGAACCAATTTGATCTGCATCAGTGAGAACAGAACCCTCATCAGCAACAATCTTAATAATGACATTTATATTACGACGATGTTTGATAGTAGCATGAAAATATTTAGTGTTTCTATCGTCGTTTTTGAAATGAGTGTCACAAGATTTCTATCTGAGGAAATCCTCCTCAACAGTGATTTCCTCCAAAAGAGTATGATGAGCATTAGCTAACTTGGCCACCAGATCAGGAGTGTCTATCACCTGTGCCTCTAAGGTATTGACCTCCTGTTGGGCCTTCGAGACCCTAGAATGAACATTACAAAAAGTATCTATGTTCCACATTTTTAAGTAAGAAGCAACATTCTTATGTAATTGCCACAAAATGATCCAAGGGTTACCACTCCATCTCGAGACCCAAGCCTGCTTAATCAAGTCAATAAAAGTAGAATGAGAAGTCCAAACATTGAGAAATTTGAAGTGATAACGAGCAGGTTTAGAATGAAAAGCTAAAGTAAGCAAAATAGGACTGTGGTCCGATGCAGCATGATTAAGATGTTTGACATGAATAATATTTTAGTAACCCAAAAAAGATGAGTTTCCCAGAAATCTATCCAGTCTCTGCATAAGAGAACCCCTCCGTCAAGTATAAGGAGAACCCGAAAAGCCTAAATCATAAAGGCCTGCATCCTCAATATGTTCACAGAAACGGTTGATAAGGCTTGTATCAACCTTAGCACCACCCCTTCTCTCCGAAGGCGACATAATCATATTTAGATCCCTTCCAATGAACCAATTTTCAGAAAATAGTGGCACCCATATGAGTAAGTTGTTGCTAAAGAAGAAGTTTGTCCTTTAAAAGAGAACTGGCATAAATGAAGGTAGTCCAACCATAAAAATTCAACCATAAAAATTCTCCAACTAAATTCTCCAACTGATAATGAAGAAGAACATATTGTACGTTATCATCAATAATGTTAAGAGTAATGTCTTTCTGCCAAAAGAGCCAAATTTTATAGTTCTGATTACTGTAATGTATGTATCCCTTGAATTTCTTAAGGATATTCTCTTTATGAACCATAACAAACAGCTCCAAAAGAACAATATATGGTTGAGGACCTATCTTGTTCGCCGCTTCCTCATGCTCAAAGAAGAAGGGTGGAGGTTCGCGTCGAGTAGTTTCATCGCCTCTCACGGAAGACGGGAAGGGGTTGTGTGTTTGTCTTCCTCCTCGACTCAGCTCGACAGCAGCGCGATAATGTTCGTCGTTTCTTCAACACTCAGCTAGGACATGATCGGCTCCTCCTTCGTCTTCTTCCTCGACTTAGCTCGACAGCAGTGTCATCCTGTTTGTCGTTTCTTCGATACTCGCTAGGACACAATCGGCTCCTCCTTCGTCTTCCTCCTCGACTCAGCTTGACAACAGCGTGATCCTTCTGGAGTTCGGCCTCAACTCCCCCTTTATTCTCTATTTTTTCTCTACTGCTTTCGATGGCCACTGTTCCTCCCTCGAATCAGTACCCAGGCAAAGAATCTTTTGTTGAGGCACTTGGAAAGGGTTTAGACTTTGAGAAGGCTGTCGACCATGTGGTGTTTCCTCAAATCTATCATGATTCCCTTGAAGGGAAAGCCGACTGTCCGTTTGTTAAGAGGGCTTGTAGAAAGGGTGGTAAGACCGCTCTTATTTTTTCGGATCTCGAAGTCTCTATTATGATTGAAAAATGCAAATTCACACTCATAGGGAAATTTCAATTAGGGCATCCAAAAATTGAGGTTATTTGCAAAACTTTTGAGGATCTCAAATTTGTAGGACAATGGAAGGTGGGTCTCTTTTCTGGGAGACGTGTGATGATATGATTGACTACGGACGAAGACTATGCTAAGATTTTCTCCAGTAAATACTCATCATTGAAGGAAAAACTATGAAGTTACTTAAGTGGTCTCCTGAAATTGATTCAATCCAAGAACAACCTACAATACAAATATGGTTTAAGATACCTGAGCTTAAATTTGCATCTTTTCAACTATCAGGTCATTTATTTGATTGAGGCAATGCTTGGGAGACCCATGAAATTAGATACCTATTTTTAATCTCACCAGGCCTTTTGTTGTCAGGATCCTTGTGGAGAGAAATATCACTTTACTTGACATTGAAGAAATTCGGCTTGACACTGCACATAATGGACACTGGCAACAAATTTTCATACAACAAAGACCATATTATTGCACCCATTGTAAGATGTTTGGACACACAATTGAAAAATGTTTCAGGCTCCAGCCTAATTTGAGACCACAACCTCAAGTGCTCATCTAGCTACTCAAGAAGCACCTATTTCACCTGTTGATATGGTAGAAACTGCAACTAGAGAGGATATTTCCACTGTTTGTGCCCCAGAGGAACACCCCTCACTACCTCAGCCCTCTCATGTTGTCGAAAATAAGGATACTCTCCTTTTAGTGTCAGATGATGCTCCATATGCTATGGAAACAATTATTGTTGATGTAGAGGGCCCTCAAACCTTGGAGGAGTGTCAAGTTCAAGGTGTGCAATAGGTGAAAATTGCCCCCATTGATGATCAACTCAGTGATAAGTTGAGACAACCCTTAGAAGTTGATTGGCAAGTTCGTAAAACCAAGAAAAAAGGACTAAATGAACTCAGAAATTTACAGAAGGATGCTTTGCTAGTTTCGGGTGGAAGCCCTTATCACAGTTTGGTACTAGACTCCCTCTCTAGAACCAGGGAGCGAGGAAACCCCACTTATTATGATTAAGCTCTCTGGTGGACCATTTTATCCTTTTGAGGAAATTGTCTATCTGTTTGGGGTATACTTGTACTTTTTTTTTATCATTTTGAGACTTGTATGCCTTGTGAGTGGGTTTTGAGCACCACACTCCCTAAAACCTTTGTATCTTCTTCTCATCAATAAAATTTTTATTTTGGCGAATATATATATATATATGGAATTATTAAATCATTCATCCACACTTCAGATATTAATAAATAATCTTGAGGCAAATGATGATTAGAAACAACACTCATAAAACTATCATAATATTGAAATATGCTAGAATCACTTTGTTTAATACACTTTGAAATGAATATTCATTAGGCACATACATTTATCTAATATGTATATTACTCTTTACATTACCTCATGTACGCTTAGTTTTACTTGTAATATTTTGCCCCAGTGATTGAGTTGTTCCACTAATATTGATTTAACACATTCGATCTTTCAAAATCAAGAAAATGGTATTGTCCAAAGAAGTAATCAAAATTATTAATCCATTCTAAAATCCCTAAAGCATGTTTATGTGTTTAAATGAATGAAAGAACATAATTTTAGACATCAGTATACAACCATAACTTGACACATTTAAATTGCTTCGTTTTTTTCATTAACCCAATTAATGCTTCATACTTTTTTAAGTTATGATAATGAAAATGTTGGCACTAAAACGAAATTAACACGGAACATGTAAAGGGCTAAAGTTCTTATGTAAATAGGATAACACATTCAATGTATATCAAAATAAATTGGGTCAAAAAGAATTTTAAAATTATTAATCTCTTAAACAATATAATATATATCAAAATTTAGATTAGACAATTCAAATTAAATTTTATTTTCTAAGAAAAAATAAAGATTTAAAAAATATTAAAATTTTCTGGAATGAGCCCAAATCCATTTAGGCTTAAGTTCAGCTTCATTTTATGACCACTGATTCAACCATGGTTAACTAAACCAAATAAATCATGATCTCTCGGTAACCTAGTCATCAAGCAATGAATTGTAATAGATTCAGCCAATAAAAACTAAGCATATAAATGAAAATGATAACAACCAAAATTTACTCTTCAATAAAAAACTAATAAAGCCAAATATAAGCAATAAACAACTAGTACTACCTTTTGTCACCTGCTTCCACCATTCATCTATTTGCTTCCCTTTCTGAAGCTGATCACTATTAAGATACTCTCTAATGGAAGAGTTTAAGGACCAAATGCGTAGACTTTGACTGCTACTTATAAAGTCCAAAAGCAAACTTTGTGGGCTACTGTTGCCTGCATCAGGGTTCTTATCTTCCTTGTGGAAGGAAATGATCTTTCTCGTTGTCTCAACCTGGCAGAGGAACTAGAAAGTCAAACATCAAAGAGAAGATATCCAATAACTTGGACAAAACTGAATATAAAGCAAATACTAATATAAAATTATGATTAAGCATAAAAAGATGAATTGAAAAAGTGAACTCCAAAAGGAAAGCGAAAATTATTTTTCTACAAGAATGAATAAAAACAAAGTTAAGAAAAATGCAATAAGTTGAATTGGTCCTGACTCGTTTTATTAGAATTAAATGACAATATGACACTCAACAAGACACAACGAAGAAAAAGTATTCATGTAGCCGGCCACACTTAGTGTGCTAAAGGCTTCTTGTTGTTGTTGTTGCTGTGTTAGTGTTGGTCCTGACTCATTTTAGTGAAATATTTCTTTTCAAAATAATACAAATTTCAATTGAGTGTGATAAGCATTACGCTAACCTTCTTTGGATCTGAGTTTAAAGTATTAATTACAATATCCAAACGAATAATTTGTGCAAGCAACCATGTCACATGATTACTACGAAGAATCTGATGATCTCCTTGAGTAACTCTTGAGGCAAGTTTGTTAACAAATTCAAGAAAATCGATGTACCCGTTCTTCATTAGAAAGAAAAATAAATCCGCAAACATAAGCCAATCCTGCCAACACTGAATTTCTGCAAAAATAAATGCATCAATAGAAAGTCAAAAGCATTGCAAAATGGGCAAATAAGAAAAGCAAATTATAAACAGAGATTCCGAGTGAGCTGTGACATAAAAACAAACCAATTCTTAAAATTATTTATTGTGTAAAAGAATCACCTATCGCATGTAAAAACATACATATGATATGCAATACAAAAGCATAAAACAAAAAAAAAAAAAAACTTCTTTTATTTACAAAGCAACCCTAAAAAAGTATTCCGGACGCACATACTCACTGATAGAGATATTCAAATAGATTTTCAAATATTGGTTTCAAAAAAGTTTTCAATCCTTGATTAGAATGGACCGAAATAATATCTTATTTACTTAACTATTTTATAAAAGGCTTAAATAGTACTCAAGAGTGATTGAATGGCAGTAGGATTTTTCCGTAATAAAAAAATCATAGCTCAGATCCATGTCCAGTATACTTCCAACAGCATTTCCCAGTCAAGCCTCCGTTAAAACTCTTTTGTAAATTTGTGTTTGTGCTTGGGGTGACAGATGGTTTCTTTAGCATGTCCCATGATACGAGTAATGAGATGCGTGGACTAACACGTAACACCTTAAATTTCAAATTTAAGATGTACCCCAAATTTCGCATCGCTTAAAATTTAATCGAAGCAATTTTAAAAAATTCTACCTGTTGAATAGGTCAATTTGATAACTAGCAGAATGCATCAATTTAAACGAATGAGAAATAAAGTTATAAGGTTTAATTAACTTAATTAATCCTAATCCTCTCCCTAATCCCGCATGCTTACTGCACTTAACTGCCCATGCATTGGCTTGATTGATCCAATGGTTGAGAGCTCAAGGGAGTAAGTTGAATATCGCATTCACTTCCTCTCTCCCATTTTTCTCATTACCAAGAGCTCCAGCGATCGGCTACTGTAGCTGACGAGGCGCACGATCAGCAGAGAGCCACAGGTGATGATCTAAAGCCCCGGGACAAAATTGATGTATAGGAAATTAGTTCATCACCCACTGCAAGTTAGAACAAGTGCTTGTGAAGATTTAATCTAACCAAATCAACCGCCTTTTTCATGCCACAACTACTTGTAACACCCAAAATTTAAGAAACCAGGTAAGTGTTTGACATTAAATTATGCCCTAAATTTTGCACTACTCAGAATTCAATTGATCAATTTTATAAAATCTACAATCAATTTGACACATAACACTAGATATAATTGGAAATATAAAATTTAAAATAACACTCACTTAAACTTAATTAATTCTAAAATTAATTTAATTAATTGTCACTGTGCAGCTTAGAGAAATCCACTAAAATGTAGATGCAATGACTGATGGAAATTTCAATGGTCGAGATAAATTGATATAAGGCTAGTCGGAAGCAACAAATTGCAACTTCTTCTTGCAATTTGGACTTTTGGGGAAGGAAATACTGCAGCTTTAAGGAGCATTTAAATAAATTGATTAAGGTATTTGAAAAATATGTTATTATGTTTGTAGATTTGCAGTTGATCACATTAATTTAGGAATTTTTTTATTTTTCTTATTTATGAACAATAATTAGGGTAGAGAATTACCATTCTCGTGAGGGCACTTTTAAGAAAAAAAATTGATACTAATGATGGTTTAGGGTAAGTAATTTGGTATGATATATACATATATATACTTTTATAATAACTTTTGTCAAAATGCAAATTAGTTTATTGTATTTCCTTCAACTTCCTATGGAACTTGATGGTTACTTTGTTTTATTTGAGTGCGAGTTTTAGTTGATGGTAAAGAAAGCAGGGAATAGAAGATGGTATTGGGAAGGAGATAATACAAGGAAGTCTTTTTTTAGATAGATTTCACAAATGAATTATATTTAGGGTTAAATCACGATATAATCCAAAAATTCATGAAATCCTAAAGGTTTATGGTTTTAAGTGTTTTATGATAAGCGGCAAGTCAGCTCAATATGAGATTGGAGAAACTTGATGTAGAACTGCCCGGTCAATTCAGGTGAAACAATCTTGTACTAACTTAAGAAAAAAAAATTATAGATCTTCATATGTTTTCTCATTTGAAAAAGATGCATTTAGTATTTCTTGCATATTGTGGAAGAAAATCTGCATTGAATGTATGGATGCAAGTTGAATTCTTCATATGATAAATGTGATGTTATTATGTTATGATATATGACTATGCTTTTGAAATTAATTAACAGTAGGTATTAGTTTGTTATGATTCATGTCTATGATATATGAAAAGTTATGAATGTTTGCTACAGGTATTATACTTTAAGAAATGTCAAGAATGTTGTTATTGGTAGACTATTATATATGCGCTTACAAGTATGCTATGTTACGATGTGGTATTCCCAACTTCTGGTGTTCAGGCAATGACAAATTTTTGAAAACTGTTGCAATTAGACGATAATAGAATGTAGGGAGTTGTTGGTATCCAGGGCTATTGATAAAAATTATGTTGAAGGGGTAACCTTTATCAATAGTTAATATGACTTATGTGACAGGGTGACAACCCATAATCAAATAGGACATGAAAATAGTTGAGGCATTAACATTTACAAGTGACGTTGCTATGAACATGTTTATGATTCTTATGAATATACTTATGATTACATGATGACGACTACACGTGGATGAACGGCATACATGTTTCTACAACAGTCATGATTTTCTACACTATCTGGTTTCTTTTTATATTATATAAGATTCTAGCATTTATGATTTATGTGTGGACTTGTACAGACATACGAGCATGCATGTTATTTATCTTTCTTGTATAAAATCTTATTTTAGTCTTGATTATTTCGTTAAGCTCATTGATGTATTTGGGGTGGGTAATCAATATGAATAAATATCATACATGCACAACATAAATATTATATCCTAAATTACATTTGAATAATAAATTTTCTCAGTACAGATGAATATGCCTGAAAGAGAATAAGAAATAATGAGGGTCAGTCTCCTAGGCCAATTGCAAAACAAGAAGTACAAGTTGAAAAATATATTGCACAAAAATGATAATCAAAACAGAACAAATGAGGAAAATAGAACCGTTGATTAATAGTGTTCAGTTGATATCATAAGTGGTTGACAAAATGGCTGCTATTGAAAGGTCATCCACTAGTACAGGGTCTAGATGTAAAGATGGGGTAGAAGTTGATCGGTACTTAAGCCACCTGCATTCAATGGTGCAGTGACCCTACAGTTGTTGAAGATTGGAAATTCTAGATGACATGATTTGTCCACAAAACAGAGGAGTGGTGGGAGGCGCTGCATAAAGAGAAATTTCAGTTAAAACATTTTGCGCATATTCAATGGGATGAGATTTTGTGAAAGTCTTCAAGAATTGGTTTATTTCATATTCAGTCAGATTAGTACTGCAAGATAAATTCTTCAATTTGACTCAGAGACTCAGATCAGTTATGTAATATGAGGCATGATTTAATTGTCTTTTCATATGCACCTCATTATGTCAGTACTCAAAAAGAATGTCATAGATTTATGTTCGGCCTCAGAGATCAATTGAGGTTGGCTTTGATGTCATTTGAAATTACTGATTCTTCAATGCTAGTTGAAAGAGTCAGACAAAAATAAGCTCAACTTTTCTAATTAGCGATGGTAACCTCGGGAAAACAAAAGAAACAATTTTGGGAAGGGAGAAGACTTTTAAAGCAAAAAAATTAAATCAGAAGGTAAGCAGAAGCAGTCTCAATCAAAAAAGCCAGTTTGTGAGAAATGAAAAAAAGACATTTTCATCAGTGTGATGGGTTCAGAAAAATGCTACGAATGTGAACACCTAAGGCAACTTCATTAAAACTGTCCGCAAGAAAAGAAAAGAGACAGTAGATAGTTGACATTTACAAGACAGGGACAGCCCAAAAAAATTATTGGAAGACATTCGGTTCAACAAAACTCCATTTTTAAAAAAATCTTTAACTCAAGCAAAGGGTGAAACTTCAAAGATCAGAACTGAGCAACTAGTAAAAGTCATAGTTTTTACAATTACTCCTCAAGAAGTTAAAGAATCTGAAAAATTATTTACAAACATGCTTATGATTCATATCAGTCAAACACTAGTCTATTCATTTTAGGTGCATCGGACTCTTTTATTACCTATTGATGACATTTATAAAAATATGCATGAATTAAAAAACATCCTAGTTAATGCAAAATTTTTTTATGTATTTCTTGAAGAATTGTCAGGGCTACCGCCTAAACGAAAAGTTGATTTTGGCATTGATGTGCAGCCAGTGATGTCTATAATTTTCAAGTCTCCTTACAGGACGACTCCGAAAGAACTGCAGTAATTAAAATGTAATTGTAGAAACTGATAGATAGGGTTTTATAAGGCCAAGCAATTCGCCTTATAGTACTCAAGTATTGTTTGTCAAGAAGAAAGTCGAATCTATACAGTTATCTATTGATTATAGAGAGCTAAACAAGGTGAGAATCAAGAACAAATAGTCTTTGCCCAGGATTAATGACCTATTGGATCAGTTAGAAGGGTCTACCATATTTTCTAAGATTGATCGAAGATCAGGATGTTATCAAGTCAGAGTCGAGGAGGAAAATATATCTCAGACGGCTTTTGGAACCATGTATGGTCATTATGAATTCTTAGTTATGTCTTTTGGCTTAATCAATACTCTTGTCGTATTCTTGGACCCGATGAATCGAATCTTCAAGTCTTATGTGAATCAATTTGTCATTAATATTATTGATGATATTCTAATAAATTCAAGAATTGATGGTGATCCTGTCAAATATCTGATGATAGTCTTGGAGTTATTGAGGCAGAATCAACTATATGCAAAGTTGTCAAAATGTGAATTTTGATTGTGGAACATTGTATTCTTGAGGCATATTATCAATGGACAAAAAATACCAATGAATACTCAGAAAGTGAAAACAATTGCAGAATGACCTACTCTAAAGAATGTTATGAAGGTATGCAATTTTCTTAGTTTGGTAGGATATTGCATGAGGTATGTTAAATGATTTTCACAGATAGTTATGTCATTATCCAAAATGATGAAAAAAATATCCAATTTGAGTGGAATGTAGAATGTGAGCGAAATTTTCAAGAGTTGAAGAAACAGTTGATTACTGCTTCAGTGTTAACTATTCTATCAGGTATAGAAGGATTCCAGATTTACGGCGACGCGTCGTTGCGAGACTTATGTTGTGTTTTAATGCAAACTAAAAAGATAATAGCTTATTCATCCAGACAATTAAAGCCACATGAGAGGAATTATCCGACCCATAATTTGGAGTTAGTTGTGATAATTTGCTCTCAAAATTTGGCGCCATTATTTATATGGTGTGAAGTGCGATGTCTTCACCGATCATCGGAGTTTGAAGTACATATTCACACAAAAAGAGTTAAATCTGAGGAAGATGAGATGGATACAGTTGATTAAAAACTATGATTTGGATATACAGTGTTGTCCTGATCGAGCAAAAATAGTTGTCGATGCTTTGAGTTGTAAATCTACATGTAGGTGCAAGCTAGATCATTACTCAAAAGTTGGAATTGACTAAAAAAATTGATGCATTGCAGCTGCAAATCAGAAGACTGAGTGATATGGGTATTACATCAGGTGATTGTGCAACTAACTTTCTTAAATATAATCAAGGCAGCTCAGAGTGTTAACAATGAATATCTGAAATCTTAAAACAGCTTTAATCAGGAAGGAGGTTGGATATGACTATTGATGAAGATGGTATTATCATAAACAAGCAGTTATAGATACTTGCTAATTCTGATTTGAGACAGGAAATCCTATATGAAACTCATTATTCAGGCTACACATCCATCCGAACAACTCTAAAATGTACAATTGATATTCTTGTGGCTAGATATAAAGAAGAAAGTTGTTGAATATGCGTCTAAATGTAAAGCTTGTCAGATCGTAAAGGATGAACAATCAGAAACCTACCAGATTGCTACAATCATTATCTATACCTAAATAAAAATGAGAAGAAATTGTTATGACTTTTATTATGGGATTTCTCCGATCCAGACAATGTCACGACAGTATTTGGAACATTATTAACAGGCAAACAAAGGTAGCTCATTTCTTTCAAATCAGACAGACAAATTTAGCTAAAATCTTGGATAGATTATATGTTAAAGGAATAAACAGATTGCACGGAATTGTAGAAGTTATCATTTATGATAGAGATGGAAGATTCACGCCCGGGTTGTGGAAAGGCATTCAACAAGGTTTGGGTATTTATATGCACTTTAGTAAAGCATTTTATCCACAAATCAACGAACAATCGAATAAGACAATTCATGTATTGGAAGATTTGTTGAGGTTTTGCGTCCTTGACTTTAGCAGCAGTTCGGAAGATCACATTTTGATGATCGAGTTTGTCTACAATAATAACTATTAATCCACTATCAAAATGGCCCCTTATGAAGCACTGCATGTTAGAAATTATAGAACTCCATTAAGTTGGGTTGAAGTGACTGAACGTAAAATGTTAGAACACGAGTTAGTTGATAAAGCCTAAGTTAATCACATGAAACCGATTGAAAGTTGCTTTGTTATGACCCAATGCAGAAGCGATGGAATTTGAAATTGGTGATTTTGTGTCTCTAAAAGTCAGGGCAATGAAAGGTACAGTTAGATTTGTTCAGAAACAAGTTAAATCCTAGGTACATCGGTCCTTTTGAAATTATACAAAGGATCGGCCATATTGTTTAAAAATTAGTGTCATATGTTGATATGTCAGATATTCATGATGTTTCACATCTCAATGCTGAGAAAATCAGTTACAAATTCATATCAAAGGATTTCATATTGAAGTACAAAAAAATATAACTTATATTGAAGAGCCTGAAAGCATTTTAAAAGCTGATCTTAAGAAGCTAAGAAAGAGAGATTCCTTTTGTCAATATAAAGTGGAAGCATGGGTCTCAAAAAGAAGCTATATGGGAAATGAAAAAGGAAATGCAACAGAAGCATCCCTCACTGTTCAAGTAAACTAAAAAATTTCGAGGACGAAAATTTTATGGGGGGAATGTTGTAACGCCCAATTATTCAAACTTAAAATGAACCCCAAATTTTGCATCTCCCGAAATTAAATCGAAACATTTTTATAAAATTCTATACGTTGAATCAGTCAATTTGATATATAATACCATGCATGAATTTTAAACGGATGAGAAGTTATAAAATTATAAAGTTATAAGGTTTAATTAACTTAATCCAAATATTCTCCCTAATTCTACATCACAATTGTTCTCTACCGACTCTCCCGAACTTAGTTTTGCATGTGTTGGCTTGATTCGATCGAATGGCCAAGAGCTTAAGGAAGCAAGTTAAATGTTGCATTCACTTCCTCTCACCTCATTCCTCCTTACCGCGAGGTCTAGCAATCGATTATTATAGCTGGATGAGGCGCACGACCAATAGAGAGCCAAGGTTACGACCGAGGCTCCAGTCGAAATCGGTGATTAGGAAACTCTCACGCTACTTCTGACATTCATTCCCTAAATCGGTGTACTTCATCATTTCAGGTAATTGTAGCGAAGCAAATTTGTGTCAGAGCCTACGAATTGATTTGTGGGCTTGAGTAAAGGCTATTAGCGAGAAATCAATGAAGAAAATGGTGGATTAAGGTGATAGAAGGAAGAGGGAAGAAGAATAGACAGTAACGGATAAGAGATAGTTATGTAAGGAAGATCGTTTGAAGAATTTCTCAATAAGTTATGTTTTGGGTTAAATTACGAGATAAGCCAAAATTTCATGAAATTATGAATTTCATGTTGTTTAAACTAGGAGGCAAACTCAAGGTGAGCTTGAGAAAACTCGTCGTTGAGCTACTCTATCAATTCAAATGAAATAATTTTGAGCTAGCAAGAGAAATAACTCCCTGTAGGTCCATGTGATTATGTGTTTAACACTTACATTTTAATTTTTATGCATATTGTGAATTAATGCTTACAAAATTTGTATGAAAACAAACTTGTTGCCACTTACGATACATATAATATTAATGTGTTATGAATCTGATGAACATTCTTATGAAATCATTTCTTGCAGGTATTTATTTACTATGATTCATACATACGATATATGAAATGTCTATGATGAATGCTTGTTACATGAATTATGATTTAAGAAATGTCACAAGTTGTGTTATAGGAAAGTTATTATGTGAATAACAAACTCCACAAATTGTTGGAATCAAACAACGATAAAAATTAGATAATAGTTGATGCCACAGAGCTATTGATAATTGTTATATTGGGGAACCCAATTTTTATCAATAGGTAATATGCATTCGGGTTGAGTGACGACCCAATGATATGGCATGAAAATAATTACAAGTGACATTCCTATGATTATGTTAAATGAATCTGATGAGCATGTTTATGATTATACGTGAATGGATAAAATACATGTTTTAAACAAATGTCATGTTTTGCTACATTACATGTTTTATACGTTTATAGAATATTGTGACATCTATTGTGAACATGTACATGGATTACATACAAGCATGCTCGTTATTTTTTTTTTCATGTATAAAATCTTATTTTAACCTTAATTATTTCGTTGAGATTGATGTTTCTCACTTTACATTGTTGACTTTTAGAAATGGGTAAGGAGCACCAGAGCAAGTATCAAGTGTGACCTGTGCAGCTTTTACATTTCATAGTTTTGGGAGCTTTTATAGACTTTTGGGTGCATACGTTTATTATGTTAGATTTAGCAGCTCTGTATAGATATACAATTTTTTATTATATGATTTTATATTCTTCCATGTATACGCATACGAATGATTTATGCAATGAAATATATCAAGTATGTTATGGCAAATTAGTTGAACTAGTTCATCACCCACTGGGTCTTGATTCTACAAATCAAGACGAATGTTGGTGAGAGTTTAGTCTGATCGAATCATGCGCCTCTGTCGCACCACAGTTGATCATTAAAGGGGGGTTAGTTGGGGTGTGACATAACATATATTTGTTTTTTTTTGTTTTCCTTTCCTTCTCCTTTCCTTCAAAACTGAACTCTGATCAGACTTAATAAGCTTATCATAATGTTGGATGAAAATTGCACAAAACAAATGTTCATTATGATAGAAATATATAACGAAGATTTACATACATACCATTCAATTCTTATATATTTACACATCTAACACCTCAACTTCAATTTTTACTTGCATGCCACCTTACCTATACATGAAAAGGTGTTTCACTCCTTAAAAGCTAAAATAGTTGTACATTTGATGTGTTATGAAAGACTTGGGGGTGTAAATGTAAAAAGTAAAGTTCAAGCATCAGAAATGTAAATATAAAACAACTGGGTGGTATGTATGTAAATGCCCCAACCCATAAATGGGGAGACTGAAAATGCAACCACATTGTAGGCCTAGAAAACCTGTCCATGAAAATGGCACTGAGCACAATCACTACCCACTCTCAAATAATCTCGAAAACACTTGACAGATGTTTCAATGTAGCAAGCCAAGCTGTTAGGGCCATTTGACAAGGAGATAAAATAATGAAACCAAATGGAGAATGTTCGATTCTTTTTGAGCATCTCAGTTTAAATTAACAAAATGAAAAGAAACTTTTTTCATTTTAAATTACCCTTTCTTTTCCTAGTGTTCTTATTCTCTTTAAATTTCTTCCAAACCAAATCAAGAGTATAATTATCTAGTTAAATGCTTCATATTTAAGAACAATTAGGATTTTTACAGTATTTGAAATCAAATATGATAATTAACAAAATATGGCATAAAACATTAAAAAAAGAAAACAGAGCCGAGTTCTGGAGCACCTGAGTTCGTCATTTTAAGTAAATCAATAGTTCGTTCAATAACAGCCTCACAAATCATATCCTGAGAGAAAACTGCTATGGGGGTCGGTGGTTGAACTTGCTGCCTATAGCAAGGAGCTAAAAGAAGAACGCGTCTCCACCAATCTGGAGAAGGATTGGTGCGAAGGGCATGCCTAAGGCAACGCAGTGCCCTCTCCCAATCTAAACTACCTCGTTGTATAGAAAAGGCAAGCTCCTGCACAAACATAAAAGTGAAGTATAATCATTTCCAGAGGCCAGAGTTTGAATTATATAAACCATTTGAGGAATAAAAGGAACAAATGATAAGCAAGCTTTCAGTCGGTATAAAAATTTGGGGGGGGGGGCAGTTTAGCTATAAGAAAATCATTTAAATTTAAGTCAAATGATTTAAATTGTATTGGCTTTAAATCAATTTTAAAAAGTCGGTATAAGACAGGCAATTGACAAATGTTCTATGCGAGAAAGACTGTGTAATTTTGAAGTTGCCGCAGTCAAGGATGTGGGAGTATAAGATCGAACATGACGGCGGCATTTACATACCATACAATTCTTATATATTTGCATATCTCACACCTAAACTTTTACATTTACACACATAGCACTCAAATCATTAATATCACATCAAAAATAACAGGATTACCACTTTTTAAAATGTAGTACACATTGTCATGAATAGATTTAAAGCCAAGGTGCTATGTATGTCAATATGAAAGGTTAGGAGTGAGATGTGTAAATACATGATAAATGTGTGCTTTGAACCCAGACCATTTTACTTGCTTCCAACACTTTGATCAAATCACCAACTCTACATTTTTTTTATTTATTGTTATTTTTATTTTTACTTTTTTGTGCACCACCCATCTATGACGAAAGTAAAGTGTGTTGCAGAAATAACGACAGGCAATTGACAAATGTACTAAGCGAGCAAGAATGTGTAATTTTGAAGTTGCCGCAGTCAGGGATGCGGGAGTATAAGATTGGACATGACGGCAACATTTACATACCATACAATTTTTATATATTTGCATATCTCACACCTAAACTTTTACATTTACACACATAGCACTCAAATCATTAATATCACATCAAAAATAACAGGATTACCACTTTTTAAAATGTAGTACACATTGTCATGAATAGATTTAAAGCCAAGGTGCTATGTATGTCAATATGAAAGGTTAGGAGTGAGATGTGTAAATACATGATAAATGTGTGCTATGAACCCAGACCATTTTACTTGCTTCCAACACTTTGATCAAATCACCAACTCTGCATTTTTTTTTTTTTTTTTTTTGTGCACCACACGTCCATGACGAAACTAAAATGAGTCGCAAAAATAACGACAGGCAATTGACAAATGTACTAAGCGAGAAAGAAAGTGTAATTTTGAAGTTGTCACAGTCAGAGATGTGGGAGTATAAGATCGGACATGATGGCAGGGAGCATCAAAAGAGGGAGATGAGGCTAACCGAGGTCAAGCAGAAGTAAAAGGAGCATGCAAGGTATGCCTGCAAAGGGCAGTAGAGAGAGCCAAAAGCAAGTTCATGCAAGATTTTAAGAAGATTTGAGAAGATGAAAGGACCGAGTTTTTGGGTTACCTGAAAATGAGCAAGAGCCAGAGCAAGGTCATGAACGAGAAACGGTAAGAAATTGCATGGATTATGGCAGTTTGTGGCTAAAGAAAGTGGAGTTCAAGAGAAGAATTAGTCTGAATGCAATCGTGGGGAATGTAGGAGTGGGCACTGTAGAAATGATGTGATGCTTTTTTTATTTTTTACTTTTTTAGTATTTTAGGTATATATATATATATAGATGGCAAAGCCCAAACAAGTGGTTAACTACATAAAATATATTTCACCTTTTATATATGAATTTATTTGTTATAGAAAAAGAACCATCTTAATTTCTTTGATTAGAACAAAACTACTAGGAAGATTTGCTTGCTCTTCAACAGGTTATAGAAAAATAAATTGATCATGGATACTCAAAAAGGTATTTATGCTAAAATAAAATAACAATATCAGTTATCCAAGTCCATATAAGCCAGGATTAATGGCTCTCTAAATTTGTATAGTTTAACAACTAGCAAAAGAGGAACATGACATGCCAACTAGCCCAGAATTTTTTGTTATAATAACAGTTGTTTGACTATCACTGAGCATCTTAATTGCATCTTTTATCTCAACTTAAGATTTTTTTAATAGCCTTTGAATCCATATTCCATCGCATATTCCTAGTACAAGAGTACGATATTTAGATTCTACACTACTCTGAGAGAAGACAGCTTATTTTTTGCCCCAGAAGTACAAACAATATTCAAAGTCTACACTACTCTGGGAGACAACAGCTTATTTTTTCCTTCTCCAAGTGACGAGATTGCCCCCAAAGTATAAACAATGCCCAATAGTTGATTTTTTATCAATTATCTCTCCTACCAAGCTAGCATTTATGTCTATCTAATCTCATAGTTTTCAAATCTTCTGAAAAGAAAACCATGTCAAGGATTCATCATCAATTATCTCAAAATTTTATTTCATGCTTCCAAATAATCCTCACTTGGACTTTTTATGTGTTGGCTTACTACATTGACTGAACATGTAATATCAGGTCATGTGTGTGATAGATAGATTAGGTTACCCATAGGTCATTGATATAATTTTCATCAACTAGACTACTTTCTTCACATATGTCAATTTTTTATAGGAATCAATAGGTGTGTCAACAGGTTTGCATCCAAGTATGTCAATTTCACGTAGCAAGTCTAAGATGCATTTTCTTTTGAGATATGACAATTCTCTCTTTAGACCAAGCCACCTCCATTCTTAGAACAAATCGGAGGGTCATGATGTGCTTAATCTCAAATTCTATAACAAGCATCTGTTCTAGACTGACAATTCCCTCTAGATCATTACTACATGTACTATGAGAATTTTTGCCTCTAGGATTGGACTTAACAAACAGTGTATGATCAAATTAACACTGACAATATCCATTTGTAATCACGATTTTAGCAAACTTTTCAAACCAAGTTCGATGAGAATGTTTCAAGTCATATAAGAACTTCTTCAACTTGAAATCAACCTATTGTTCTATCTCCAAGCTTGGATATATAGTCATTAGAGTTGTAAATGAGTTGAGTTTGAGCGAGTTAAGCCTCGGCTCGTGTTCAAAATGGCTCGTGTTTGAAATGGTTCGTGAACAACGTGTTCGTGTTTGGCTCGAATAACATATTCTTGCTCGTGTTAGGCTCAAAATAGGCTCTGAAGAATATAAAATATCGTGAAATCGCGTCAATAATACCGCGGACTGCGGAATAACACCGATAACACAAATAATACCGCGGAATATTGAGTATATTTTTATTTTTATTTATTAATTAATTTATTTATTTCATTTCGAGCCGATTTGAGCCGAACACAAGCTTAAAAATTTGTTCGTGTTCGGCTCATTAAGCTTAACGAATGAGCCGAACACAAGCTGCTTAATGAGCCGAATACGAGCTGTTCGCGAACAACGAGTCGTTTTGACAGCCCTAATAGTTATGTAGATTTCTTCATCAAGGTACCCACTCAAGAAGGCATTTTTACATCAAATTGGTATTAGGTGAGAGTAGAACCCAAATTATATTAACCTTGGCCACAGGCGCAAAAACTTTCTGTTATTCAAGCTCATGTAGCTGCATGAAGAACTTGGCTACCAGTCCGGCTTTGAATCTCTCTATGCTTTCAACTTATTTATATTTAACCATGAATATCCATTTGCAACCTACTGAAATTTTTTCATGAGATAGCTACAAATGTTTGTGCTATTATTTAAGATGTAGCAATTTTCCCATAAGCAGCATATTTTTCAATTGGAAGACCAGCGCAGCCTTGAACATCTTTCATGGGTGCAATTGGTTCATTAAAGTCATCAACCAATGGTAAAGAGAGTCATGAAATGAAGAATCCATACCATTATCGTTATCAGATACAGGATGATTTGGTTCTGGCTCTTGACAATCTCGGATCTATATAGTGCCATCTACATGCTCAGTGGTCCTTCTGGCATAAATAAGAAATTCATGATAATTGGTGCCAAGTTGAGGCAAAGTGGAGAAAATTAGGATTATTTCAATGATAGAGTTTGGCTTTTCAAGTGGGGTTGGTGGAGTGATAGGATTTGATTTAGTTGAAGGAAAAATAACTTAAATATCTTGAAGAATATCTCAAATTTGATATTATCTGGAGTTCTCCAGAATTTCAAATTTGGGGATAGCAAGATTGATTCTCAAAGAATGATACACCTATGGAGTTACATATTCTTCTAGTGATTGGAGAGTAGCATTTGTATTATTTTTTATTGGAGTAACCGAGAAGATGCATTTGAAAGACTTGAGATCAAGTTCGGTACAGTTTTGTTGGGGGATTTCAACAAATATGGAATGATTAAAAATCTTCAATGATAAGTAAAAAAAAGCGAATATGTGGATAAGATTCCATCAAAACATTATTAAAAATCCTATTAATGAGATATGTGGATGTGAATATGGCTTCCCCCAAAACTATTTAGGCACATGATTAAGGAATAAAATGACATAGGCCACCTCAATGAAATGTTTATTCTTCTTCTCAGCGACCGCATTTTATTGAGAAGTATCTACATAGAAATTTATCTAACCAATATCTTGCTTGAAAAGATAATGATAAAGAACGGAAATAAAATATTACTTAGCATTATATGTCTGAAAAACTTGAATTTTATTTTGATATTGAGTGAAGATCATCTAATAAAATGATTGAAATATGATGGTTGTTTGATTTTTTTTTCATAAAGAATATTCATGTTGTTCTTATATGATTATCTATAGATGATACAAATCCTCATGCCCCGTTTATATTATTTACTTGTGGGGATCCACAGATATCACTATGAATTACAGAAAAATTACTTGAACGCTTGTATTGCAATTTAGAAAATACATGTTTAGTGTATTTTACAACTTAACAAGTTTCACATTGATAGAGATTGGATTTTTTATTAATAAACAAATGTGAAAACACCTTTTCCCTTTACGCGAAATTTGAATGATTATGGTGACAATGACTTAGGCTCTGTTTGGCGCAACTGCAGCTTCTTAGCTTTTCAGCTGCAGCTGCGCTGCCTCAGGAAGCTGCTGCAGGGAAGTTGGCTGTCTGTTTGGAGCAGTTGTGTGAAAACAGCTGTGAGGTAGCT